AGAAGGAGCCCCCGGATAACTAAGCTAAGTATATACATTTGATAATACTAATACTAATAATAAAATATAGATAATAATGAAAAAAATAAAAACTTGTAGGGTCGGACGACCGGAGCCCCTCACAATTCTCCCCTTCTAAGGGACGAGTTCCACGAGTATTTCTTAGGTGAGGAGAGAAACGAAATCATCTCGACTGAGATATCTGATTCTGCTAAGGGTGGTGAAGGTGGTGTGGTACACTTGTTCGACACCATACTGTTCGAAAATATAATAGCATCGGATGGATGTGTCGTAGTAGTGGCGGGAGATAAAACTTCGTACTTGGCGGTGCTAACTTCTAGGAAGAATATCTAGAAGTGACCCTAGGTAATATGCGTAGGCCAGGCTTGCGATTCTTTCCCTTCTTCTGAGGGCATGAAGAAGGCAGTGGTGAGGTGAGTTTTTAGAGTTTGGAATGCTTTTTCTTGTTCCTGGCCCCATTCATATGGTGTCTCTTTTTCTAGCAATTTGTGTAATGGTTTTGCTATGGTGGCAAAACCCTTTATAAAATGGCGGTAGTAAGAGGCTAAGCCTATAAAGCCCCTTAATTGTCGTAAGTTGGCTGGTGTAGAGAAGTTTTTGACTTTTTCTACTTTAGTCTCATCTAGACGAATGCCTTCTTTTCCTACTGTGTGACCTAAAAAACTAATATTGTTTCTAAACAGCTTACATTTTTCAGGGTTAAGTTTTATCCCTAACGCCGATAATTGGGTGAGGACACTTGTTAGGTGGAGTAAATGTTCTTGGTAAGTTTTTGAATAGATGATTATATTGTCTAAATATACTGCAACACTCTTCCCAATAAATTCTTGGAGTATGTAGTTCATTGCCCTCTGGAAGGTTGCAGGGGCATTGCATAACCCGAAAGGCATTATGTTAAAAGCATAAGTGCCTTGTTTAGTTACAAAGGCTGTTTTCTCCCAGTCTTCTTCTTTTATTCTAATTTGCCAGTACGCACTGGCTAAGTCAAGTAAAGAAAACCATTCGGCTTTGCCGAATGTTTCTAATAGGTCGTCGATGCATGGTAAGGGAAATGCGTCTTTCTTAGTGATGGTGTTTAATTTTCAGTAATCGACGCATAATCAAAGTTTGCCATTCTTTTTTGGGGCTATAATGACAGGCGATGTCCAGAGACTTTTGATTTCATAAATTAACCCATTCTTTAATAGTTTGTCAATTTCCTTATTCAGGAAGTCTTGTTCGTCTAGGCAATCCGATAGGCTGATTGTTTGATAGGTTTGATATTATTGGTGTTGATTTCATATTGGACTTCCCAATACTGGCCCAGCTGATCCAGCCTACTTGCAAAGAGTTCTTCAAACTCTTTTAAGATATATTTTGCTTCTTCTTTCTGTTCTCCTTTTAATTCAGATGCTTCTACTAATTCTTTTATAACTTCTTCAGAAGTCAGATCCAGGTTGTCAATTTCTTCTGGGGTTGGTAGTTCTTCTACGGCTGTTAGGTAGATTGCTGGGCTATTTTCTTTCCAATAGTTAGTTATTATTTCTTCTTTTGCTATAGAATCATCTGTATAATAACTTTCTGCTTCTTCTAGATCTTGTTCTTCCTCATACTGATTGAAAAAGTCATTTTTATCATCGTCGTTGTGGGTTTGAAGTGACTTTAATTTTCTCTCTTTTGCTTGGTATATAGGTACTTCAATACATTTACCCAGATATCTTATGAACAGCTTTCTTTCATCGAAATGGAGGTGGGCTTGAACTTTCTGGAACCAATCCATCCTGAGAAGCATCATTTCTTCGGGATTTTTGATAACCTGGAAGTCGGTAGGTATTAATGCGTCTTGTATTGCTAGTCTTATTTCTACTAACTTTTCTAGGGCCCTTTTTCTGGTCCCGTTGGCAGTGATGATGACTGTGTTGGAAGGCTCAGCTATAGTGAGGTTTAATTTTTTTGCTAATTTGATGGACATTATACTGACGGCGGCCCCTGAGTTTAGTACTGCTAGTATTGGGTTGTTTTGGATTCGGACGTAGCACTTTGCTGCGGTGGTCCTTTGGTTAGACTGATTGCCTACGAAATTGGTGGCTTCTGCTGTGGTAATTATTGAGCACCGCAAAGCTTGTGATAAGTTTTGCCTTTGCTTAGATACTTGCAGTAATTGGCCATATGTAGCATTGGCTCTTTGGTTTAGTAAATCATTGGCTATATTGTATAGTGGCAGCAAATCGACCATCGAAGGTGCTCTTCTGCGTCTGATTCGATTATTCATTTCAGGTTGTGATTGGGTAGGCACTTGGGTTACTTCTTCCATGGGGGTGGGCTGGGTTTGTTGTGTAGGGTGGTCTTGGTCGGTTACGACTCTCTTTCGAAGCCTTTCATCCTAGTTTATTTCAGTTTCAGGTCTTCGCTTCATAGCGTATGCTTCTTCTGGGTCATTAATATAAATGTTACATAAGTTGACATTTCTTGAGCGTATTCTATTCCTATTTGGATTTATTGGGGGTCTTCTGGGGTTCTGCCTTTTGGAAAGGCAGTTTCTAGCAATGTGACCTCTTTCACCACAATTGTAGCATTCAATTCCTCACTTCTCAGTTGCTGGGATGGGTAAAGTCTACTTGAAGATGGGTGGGGGCTGGTTTCTGCTTGGATGGCAAGTGCAGTGGCTAACTTTTCATAGTTGGTAGCCATCTGTTGTATTTTTTTGGTTAAGTCCTCTATAATTTGATTGCTGGGTTCTTTATTTTTTTCCGTCTCATAATAACCCCAACTTCGATTCTACGTGCCCTTGTGATGGCTGCGTCTAGAGTTTTGGGGTCGTCAGCTAACATTAATGTGGCAATTTTCCCACGTAGGCCTCCTAGGAACATCCTTATGACGTATGCTGCGGGGATTTCTTTATCAGGATCAACTCGCTTAAGTAACCTCTTAAACTGGTAGGCATAACAATCTACTTTTTCAGTCTCTTTTTGTTTTAGCGAGTGCAGGTCCAACTGCCATTGATGTTTTCGCTCTGGGGTGGCAAAATACTTAGTGAATGCTGGGACAAAGCTGACTTCTTTGTTCTCCTCATCATCATCGTCCCACAGGATAAGATTATCCTTATTATCATTGTACCAACTGGCTGCGATTCCCGCCAAGTGGCCTGATGCGATTTTAATTTTTCTGGCTACTGTCCAATTGTTCGCATCGGCGGCTCGCTCGAAAGCTTCAATCCACTCAACAGGATCCTCATCTTCTTCTCCTTTGAAAGTTTTTACGTGGACCCAATTATTTTTGCGTGGACTAGGTAGAACATCATACATGGCCACATCTCGGAAAGCTTTGGCGATTTCCTTGAGAAGTTGGTGAGTTTGGTGGGGTGGGGCAGGGATTTGTTCGTTTTCGAGGTCAATAAGCCTATCATTCTTATCGATCTGTTGATCCTCATTAACCCGTTGGTCTTCAAAATGGTCTAGGTCTGACATGGCGTAAGTGGGTAACGCAGGTTGTTATTTTAGTAGTTAATTGGTTCGATTCTTTGATAGGATTATTGGGTAGTTGAGAAGTACGATCTCACAGTCACCACCAATTGAAAAGGGGTGACTTAATTGTTTTAAGCTAAAACTAGCTAAATCTACACACTACAACTTCTAATCTTCTGTTCGAAGACCCTAAGACTTCGATTTGGCAGGCAGAAAGAGGCGCGGAGAGACTTGGTCCGAGTCTCAAAGTCTTGTTGAGTCTTGCTGCGGCGTATTTGGGGGTCAAGATAAGTCAAGTCTTGACTTATGCTTATAGCAGTGGGTTATGAGCTTCGATTGAAGACTAAAAACGATTCTTCTTCTTAAGTTCAGGTGTACTGGGCTTTACTCTTCAATTC